AGGGTGTGATGGGGACTTTGCTTCTGCTGACGACGTGGATGTGGAGGTTAATTATTAATGGCTACCCTGCCTGCTGCCACGTCACCGGGTGTCCTCGACTACTTTGGTGAAATCCTTCTCGCTGGCTTAGTCCTGGGGGGGGGGTGCAGCCTGGCTGGGCCACGAGGCCTGGCCAGGAGATGGGTCCTCAACCCCATGCCCCTGCCGGCTGTGCAGCCGCTCCTTTCCTCATTTCATCCTCCAAGCCCCACCCACTCAGCCCACCTGGGGCACGGAATACACCTGCCACGCCGCGTGGAATCGGTGCTCAGTGAGCCCGAAAGCGTCACTGCTACTTAAACATGCAGAGACGCAGAGCGGACACTGAAGGCGGTTAGGGAGCTCCAGGGGCCGCGTCCTGAGGAGCATCTGCACCCACAGTCCCCCCTCCCAACTTCCTCGACCTTTACCGATGAACATGGCCTTGGAAAGTCACACAGAGGGCACTCTGCTCGGTCGTGGGGCTGGAGTGTCCACACGGCCCCTCTGGGAGGTTCCTCGACAAGTTTTGCACTTTGATGCCACTCCAACCCCTAAAGGGGCCTCACACCACAGCCTTGGAGGCAATCCTTGTCCCGGTGACACTCCACCAGTCGTTCCCCGGACGCTGCCCGCCCCCTCCGTCGTGACTTGAGGAGCTTACCAGCCTCCCTCCAAGCACTGGTGGGTCAGACCAGTGACGAGCCCCACAGGTGACAGCCAACAGCCCTGGGGTCCTGCATGCCCTGAGATTGGTGGCATTCTGGCCCATGGAAACACCAGTGACTGGACCACGTCTGGGAAGTCGGAACCCAGGCGAGGTGCTGGGACACAAGCCTGGCCATCTGCTGAGGCCGTGGCCGCCCTGCGGGGCAGTCCTGGCCTACGTGGGGGGCTCACCCACTGCCCCGGGCCTATGTGTGAGGTCATCTGTGGAGCATCTGGGCCTATGCGTGGGGTCACCTGGAGGATAGCTTGCCACAAACAGGATGGCTTTGTGCCACAGGAAGTTGTCTTCTCATGGTTCTGGAGACAGAAGTCTGGTGTCCAGATGTGGGGACCAGTTCCCCAGGAGGCTCTGGAGGGGCCTGGCTGTCTCCCAGCATCTAGTGTTCCTGGGTCTCTTTTGGCCACAAGATGCTTCCTCACCTGCTGGCGTCCCTCCATCTCAGGTCTTTTCTCTTTCATGAGGACAACACGCATACTGAATCGGGACCAGCTGGAATCTTCCATGTGGGAGCCCCAGGTTCTATTCCCAGGCACACCCTTCATGGGCCAGCACTTCCTTGGTCAGTCACTGTGGGCTTGTGTTGTGGCACTGTGTATGAGACAAGTTTCCAGCGGTTTCCTGACTAAGAAGACTATGCAGAAAGGCCTGGTGATTGACTTAAAAGTTACCCAGTGAAAGTGCTACAGGTCCCCACAGAATGCTGTGCTTGTTCTGGGTACACGTCAGGGAAGGGGCGCTCACCTGAGAGGACCTTGTTGTGGCCTGGGTGAGGGGCATCCTCAATGACAGGACCTGGGACAGTGTGTGCAGAGAGGGGCTGATGGGGAACAGGGCAGGGCCAGTCTGGCCGTGTTCGGATGTGCATATTAAGAACACTGGAAACCTGCCTTCCACCAAGCCAGTCCTGACTCCCGCCAGCCTCCATCGCTCCCAGGGCTGTAAACCTGTGTGGGAGGAGAATGCCCAGCTTTCTCCAGAGGAGCAGCTGGAGGGTTCAACCTGGTTAGCCATTTGTCACCCGAGCTCCTTCATGTGAATGTGGTCCCTGAGTCACAGCCGACTTGATGACAGCTCTTAAATCTACCTATCTGCTTATCCACCCATCCACCAGCCACCCACCCATCTAGCTACCATCCCTCCATCCACCACCCACCCATCCACCCACCATCCATCTGTCCATCCACCCACCCACCCATACAGCTACCATCCATCCATCCATCCATCCATCCATCTTTGCATCATATCCATCCATCCATCCATCCATCCATCCATCCATCCATCCATCCATGCAATCTAGCTCTCTCTATCTTATCTTCTATCTATCTATCTATCTATCTATCTATCTATCTATCTATCTATCTATCTATCCTTTCATCCACTCATCTATTTATCCATTCCTCTAACCACACCCCCATCATATATATATATCTATATATCTTTCTAACTATCCATCTAGCCAACATATTTATCTATACATTCTCTTACCTACTCACCTACCACTCTATCTATCTATCATCTATCTATCTATCTATCTATCTATCTAT